TTTGATTTTAATTAAAGGGGGAATTACACGCCCAAGAAGAAAATTCCTATTATACTAAAACATTTCTCCTGATCTTTCAAAGAAGTGAGTAGCGAGAAATGAACAAATAAACTTCATCTTGTCTTTGGAGAAATGATATTCTGGTTCAAAAGTGTATGACTTCTTTTGGTGACATTAGTAATTATCCAATTTTTACCAGTTTTCATGGTTTTCCCATAATATTTTGTGTAGAATGCTTTCCATACAAGTATTGCAGTTCCTGTTGACATACCTGTTCAGCCTCTAACTGTATGCCATTAAATTGTATAATTAAGTATCCCATTACAGGAATGACCTTTGATTTGGAGTCCTAATGTTTAAGCTTAATGAGTTAGAGATGTCTGGACTGTTAATAATTTATGTTTATAATGTTCTCATAATAGTATTGACATTTGGCTGTGTTGGTGAAACCAGCAAAGTGGAGATAAACTTAATCAAAATTCTTGTGTGGTGCATAGGATCCCACTGTGATTTGAGACATAACATTTGTAGTTTGTCATCACCTATCTATTTTAATAAAGTCCTGCTTATGTCTAAAATTTTAATTTCAGCCAGCTGAATGTAGTTATACAAGGAAATCTCTACTGGAGTAGCTTGTGGCAATTTTATTTTAAGAGGAACTAATTGCTTTGGTTTCAAGAATGTTTTTCCACCTGAGCAAGAGTTAGTTCCCACTTAACACTTTCCCTGTTCAGTGTATATTCAGTGTGAACCGAATCTTACAGCAGACAGTTTGTATTGTCCTTGATGTTCAGATGTGGGGGAACACGTGTGCGTGATGTTACTTACTGAAGAGCAAACGTGGCTTGTCCCAAGGTGGTCCGAACTTGTCTTTGTGAGGTTCAGTAGTTAGATGTAAAGTTGTTTCTGGCAACCAGAATCTGCTGTGTCCTAGAATTAATCTTTTTGCCCTAGTGGGATGGGTAGCTACCGGCCTAGGAAAATGTGAGGACTTTGGCAGGTAGGAAGCTGAAGCAGTGGGCTACCTTTGACCAGCCTTTCTTTATTCTGTATTCTTCTTGCAACAGCCTCTGTCCTTTCAGCAGCTCATCTTTTTTTCTTTTGGCTTATCAGTTGAGACATAACACTTTCTCATGATAAGCAAGTTTGAATACAAAGAGGGGAAAGTCCTATGAGCCTTTTTAAATAAATCTGGCCAAAAAGGCCAGAGATGAGAGAGGTGAGACTTCAGGTGCAGTGTGTTAGCCCTTTGTTAAGTCTATATTTATTCACACAGGCAAGTGGAATATTTAGGCTTTTCAAGAAGTTCTGTTTGCTGTAGTAGAGAAACTTCTAGCAGGTATAACTAGGTTATAACTCTTTCTAGGAGAGAGCTTTTTAATTGCAGGAGAACTAGAAAAAAATTAGGATTAGGCCATTCCCTGTAGTTTTGTCTCTCTTTTTTTGTTTGTTTTTTGGAAAGTATATTAGAGAAAAATGAAACTATGTAGTATGCTTTCCCTGCCTGTCTCAGGATGCTCCCAGGATTATTTGTGTACATATGCCCTGACATGCTGGTAGCCTCTTGATAGCCTCCCTTGCTGGAGCGCAGAGGAGCTGTCTGAGCATCAGCAAATTTCTGTGCTTGGGGTTTCCCTTCAAAGTATCACTCATCATCCAAATCCTGCTTTGTGCTGTTTGGCTACATAGGTGATCATGTTCCTCCACAAAACACATTAACAATAACTTTTGTGACATTGATTTGACAGGAATAGCTTTTAATTTATCTATGTCTCATTCATTCATGTGTGAAATTAGTCTTTGCTGACAGTGTATTTTGTTTATGCTTTTGACTCTTGGATGCCTGGAAGTTGACTAATGAGTTCTTCTAAAGTACCTCTCTTTTTTTCTGGGCTTCTCTGCAGAGAAAAGTCTTACTACAGAGAGGGGAGGAAAAAAAAAAAAAAGGCTTTCAGCTTTATTGCTGTGCTTGCCCAATGCAGTACTATTACTTTCTGCGGCTTTGGTAGGGATCAAAAGCTCCTCATAGTCTTGTTCTCTTGAAACTTCACTTCAGTCTATCATGAGTAATCTGAAAAAGAGAGAGCAGTGCATGCAGATCATACAAAATATCTTGTATTGAGCAGTTATTCAGATTGAAATCTATATTATCCGGGAATAAATAAAAGAAAATCACAGCTGAATATTGCTAAGTGAATATAAGAGAAAAGTGCTTGTTCCTTAAATGCAGATTTTTGCCTTGAGGTCTCTGCAACAGCGAGGACTCTGTGCTAGCGAGGCATGCTGTATGGGAAAGAACTTATCACGTAATTTAGACAAACTGGAAACCAGGAGGGAAGTGCCCAACAAGTAACTTGATGTGCCCAAGCTCATTAAGCTTTTGACGATGCCAGGAAGTGAGCTCAGGTCCTCCAAGTTTGAGCTCCGTGCCATCACAGATTGCTTCATTTCTTTCCTATTAATGTATCTCTTAAGCACCGCAGGACTCTTGTTGCATGGTATACAAGCTTAAAAGAGTCAATCAGCAGCAATGTAATCTCCTAAAATGAACATATCATGAATGTTGTCTACTACATGAAACTGTTTCCACTGCTATGTTGTTTTTTTCTCAAGCAATTAATACTTCAAGATTTTTAAAGTTTTAGATGAATCGGTCTTCTTGAAACAAAACACAGCTTTTCATCTTCCAATTTAGTCATATCTTATGATCCTCACTTGCTTTCTGCTGCACTTGCGTGGGGACTTTATGCAGCGATAGTAAGGGGAAAATGAAAAAGTGAGGGTGCTACTGAATTCCTTACCCCTGTAATTAAACACTTGTGTTCAAAGTGAAAATCCTTGCTGATGAAAGCTGCTCAGTGCAAATTCCAAATGTGTTGTTACCCTAGAGGGTCCAGTGGATAGAGCTACCTCAAGGTAGGTCCTGTAGGTTTGATAGGTGAGGATAACAGTGACATGACTTCCTACTGTAGAGAAAAGGCAGTAAACACAGAGGTCTGTCAACTTGCTGTTGGTGCTGTGCGTGGCTAAGACACTGTAAAACATGAGAGGGAGGTCTTGTGCCTTTATAGGCTGAGTAGTTTGCATTCTGCACATCTTTCCCATGGGCAAGGGGAGATACAGAGAGGAACTAATGCTTCTTATTATTCTTGAAATTGAGTAGGAAGAAGTAAATTACTAAAATATCTGCTGTGTCCTGAATATGGAAGGTAAGTGTGTTTACCCATTATTTTTTGTTTATTCTTTGGTCTCCAGAACCAACTGGAAAATAGAAAAAGGAGGTCTGCTGGAAATAAAAGGATCTAGACAAAATAAGTTACATATTTCTCTTGTCTGCTTCCTCACTACTCCGCAACCAGACAATATCCAAACTTGCTCTCCTACTGAATCTGTCTTCTACATAACACTGTCTTATAAATTGGACAGTATATTGCTCACGTCTCTTTTCTTCTCCAGCTTACTTCTATTTTCCTTGGCTGTTTTTCTAATTAGATGCTTCTACTATAAAATCTACCTTTCTTTCCACTATTTGGGTTTCTGCTTCAGCCTTCCCCGAGTCTGGTGTTCAGTGTTTAAAACTTGGTACTAATATATAATCTTTGCTCTCCCATTTCAGGATTTTCCAACATCAGCCCCTTCAGGTTGCTCCTAGGAAAAAGGTTATGTCTTGATGCAGTTACTTTTTCTGTTTGGCTAGATGCTGATAGTATCTTTAAATAAATAAAACCAATTTCATCATAGATGCATACTTTTACCACCACCTCTCTTAGCACAGTATACGGCAGAGCATAACATCTTCAGGCACAAGGATTTTCAGCTAGTTGATAAAGTACATCTGGGGCTCACAAGCTGTATATCCAAAATTCCATGAATCTTCCAGGAAAACCTTCCTTGTTTTCACTTGGAAACCTCTTCAGCAGTTGTATACAAGTTTAGGAAACTTGTGCCTTATTGTTAACTTGAACGTGTCCAGCATTAGGTTGCATCCATTGGATCTTCTGTTTTCCCAGAGGAGAGAATTTTAATGTTAGTGCTCATACGCAGCGATTGAAGTCCTGTTATTTTATTTGAATAAATTAAAGTTTTTCAGTTGTGTCTAGCTACAGGTCAAGCTTTCTAGGCCTCTGATGGTTATAATGGTTCTTATGAAGCCTTTTTCAATTTTCCAAATATTTTTCCTAAAAGCTTGGAATCGGAATGCAATGTATTCTATGTGGGACTTCTTCAAGCCCTATGCAGGTGTAAAAAGTTAGGCAATATTGCATGGTGTTCCTTGCTTTCTGATTCAAGAATCAAATTAGTCTGGTTTGTCTAAATCTACACTGGGGGCTCACATTCAGCTTGAGTAACTTTGAGGATCTGATGCTTTTTTTTCCTTATAAACTTGAAAATTAAACTCAACTGAAATTCTCTTGAAAAGGAAGACTGCCTTTGTTTGCGCTGTGTGTCCCTCTAGGAGAAGAGAAAAATAAACCAGATTTAGCACATGTTTATCCTAAATTGCTAGTGTGTCTTTGCTTGGCATTCAGGGTGTACGGTGTTTTAAAAAGCATCTGCTATCCCTTGCTCTCTGGAGATGATCAGCATCCTAGGACATACCCCTTGTGTGTTTTTTTTGACTGGAATGTATCCTATTCACCTGTGTGCCTGACCCTTGTTCACCAAATGGTCTCTGTTGCTTTGTACTACTGGCCTGAAGTCGTACTTTAGGCTTTCAGTCCTCACCTGTTAACTTAGCATGCCTAATGTATGCAACAGTATTCGTGCTGTTCTATGAGTTATTTTTTGATGGCCGTTGTGGTTGTTGAAATGATGTTGATGCAGCCTGGCAATTCTGCATTTGTATTTTCCTGATAAAGACATTGAAAAGAGCTAAGGCTAATGCGCAACTCTGCAAATTCTCTGTAAAAGCACCCCTATTTTAAATAACAGTTCCCTCTTCACTCTATTGCTCTTTCCTGTGTTAGTCTGCTTTCTAAATTTGTTCTCTCTTGTTCTAGGCTGCAAGCATGTGAAAGGTATTCTCTTATATGGACCTCCAGGCTGTGGCAAAACGCTCATGGCTAGACAGATTGGCAAGATGCTGAATGCAAGAGAGCCAAAGGTGGTCAATGGTCCAGAAATCCTCAATAAATATGTGGGCGAGTCTGAGGCCAACATCCGCAAGCTATTTGCTGATGCAGAAGAAGAGCAAAGAAGGGTAATGCAAACATAGACAAATAGCATGGTCAGTATGAATGTGCGTAAAGAATGACCAGAAAGGAAGTTCAGAAAATTGCTGCTTGCATTGAAAGACTGAGTCACTGCTTAGCTTGTGATTGTAATTACTCATTGCAAGTCACTCACTGAATATTAGTGTTCTGCATATTCACACAATGCCAGTTTAAAAAAAAACAACCTGAACCTGAAAAGGTAGCCTGTATCCTAGCTAGCCGTGCTTGACCCCAGGGTGAGAAGAAACACTCTGTGCTGAAGAGAGACAGTGTGTTTAGTTTTCATGCAGAGTTATTTTCAAGTAATGTGGTAGGACTTATCCTAAAAAAGTAATGAAGCTCTTTGTGATCTCTCACCTTGAATTGCTATTGTATATGGTGGCTCTGCATCGTGGTTTTTGTGGCTATTTTATATTATGCAGTGTGTCAGCTGCTCAGAAAGTGGTTAAAAGTAGGATGCTAAACATTTTGCTCCTTTTTGAAATTTGGAACCAGTGAATCTAGTTGGAATTTTTGCTGCTGAATTCAGTGGTAAGTAACATAGCCTGAATGAAAGCATAAGCTTTCATGGCTTCAAGTTTTTGGGTTACAGGATTACAGTGTAAATATAGTATAATAGAGTGCTTATAAAGCATTGTAAGCACTAAATCATTAATTTTTCTCAGCAGAAAACTAATGAATAAGAACATTGTCTTGAAACTAGAGAATACAGATCTTCAAAAATGGAAGGGGAGACCAATATTGCCCAATACTGAAGATTGGGCTTTTGATAGCCAGCTATAGTTTGAAGGTGCAAATAACTTTTGTGTGTGCTATGGTAATTTTTCCCTGCTGTGGATCATTTAATCTTGATACAATTTTCTGGTAAAGAAAAGACGATTTCAGGTAAGTCACAGTTATAGTGAGGTCTTTTCAGAAGACAGTAGCAAAGGACATTATGTCCCTTAATTTTAGTTACGCCTAACAACATTGCAGATTTTGATAGCAGCTTGATATTATTTAATTTTCTTCTGCAAAAGACTTGTAAATCAGAAAGTCAGCTTCGCATGGGAACCGTGCAGATATGAACAATCTTCTTTCCTCTGCTTGTTGCAATATAACTGAAATCTGTGAGCTCCTTTTCCTTTGCAACAACACACCTGTTAAAATAGACTTTATATTGGCTGGAGTGGATGGTCCTGATGACAAGTTGAGAGATTAGAAAGGTCTTGAAAAGGTTGGTATTGTAATGACTTGTGTCTGGGGCAGATTGCCAGTGACAGCACATTCACCCAGTGTTAGCATGGTCTCCGCTGTCCACAGAAGGCATTTTAGAGGTGGAATTTGAAGGGGAAAAGCTTCATAATGCATAGATGTGGTCACAAAAAGTATCCTGTTCTCTTACCAGCTGCAAGTGCTTCACCTTTGAGGAAGCCTGGAAATAAGCAGTTCTTTTCCTGATTGGCTCAGAACGAATGGACTCCTCAAAAATATTAAGAACAAAGCTACTCTGGCAAGCTTTGTATTTCCTAGCTTTACTACGACTTAGGGTACTTCTTGCATTGGGTGTGTCGCTCCACAGATGTGCTTTGTTCTTTGTCTCCCTTTCAGAGGGCTTTTCCAGATACCAAGTACTGTGACCCTCTGTCTGGGCTGCGTGATCCAACTTTGGGCCTGTGCTTTTGTTGTTCAGTCTAGTCCTCTCCCTTCAGCCTCTGCTTCTCTTATCATTGCCAACTATAAAGTCCTATATTTGGACAGAGCCTACCAACAACTCCATTTTGGAGCATGGTATCCCAGGATTCTGGAAAGGCATCTGATATAGAGCATGTGATATTGAAAAACACCTTGAGATATCAGTATTTTGTATCTCCCTGGCTGATCTTGTTGAGATATTACTGTTTTGTTTGGATTGCTTTCAGTGATGACTTGTGGCATTCCTGACAAGCTTTTCTTTCCAATAGCTTGGAGCAAACAGTGGTGTTCATATCATCATTTTCGATGAGATTGATGCAATCTGCAAGCAGAGAGGGAGCATGGCTGGTAGCACTGGAGTCCACGATACCGTTGTAAACCAGTTGCTGTCTAAAATTGATGGAGTGGAGCAGCTCAATAACATCCTAGTCATTGGTATGGTGGTTCTGTTTGTCTTGTTATGGTGTCTGGTGGAAAACCATTGATATTTTGTTCACTGCAGGTCAGCTGAATGGCCATTAGTGGTATTGGATGTGTTTAGACTCATCCAAATGACTGCTATTTGTCAAGCATCAGTCACAGATTTAAAGCAAAGAGGTGGTGTAATAGGCTGATATTGCTGCTTTTATTTAAAGGGGAAGGAGGAAATTGTTAACAAGTGCTTCATAGTTTAAGAAAACAAGCAAGAAATAACATATACTGATGTATCAGCAGATGAGGACCTGGGGCTTCTCTAGCTGTGCTGTCCAGTTGTCCTGGTGCCAGGAACCCTGCAGATACATTCTCTCAGTTTGCTCAAAACTGATGTGTAACAGACCCAGCTTGTTCACTGGGCTCAGTGCTGCAGCGTGCACACATATATCTCACTGCTAATATAAGTTATACTGTAATACCTGTCATTTCATGAATTCCCTCTGATGATAGTGACTGTTCAATTAAGTTCTCAAAGGTATGGTTATCCACTACAACCTTATTCTAGATGGCCTGAGTCTTGCTTTCTCTGTCCTGTGGAGTGTGAGATCCTTTGGTGCACCACTTTTGCCCACACCATTAGTAATAGGTAGGACTTGGAGCTGGGGAGAACCTGCTGTGATCTCTGCCATAGTCAAGGCTCTGAAAGCCACAGAGGTCCCTGTGCTTAGACTCTGTTTTGATCCCTGTTGTTATTACTCTACGTTAGTGCATGACATTCTCAATGTTTCTGGAGAGGGACATCTTTCGTCTGGTTTCTTTTGAGACTCTCTGAGGTCTCTTCTTAACTCTATGGGCTAAATTTAGGAGCTGGAGACCCAGTTGGTAAGCTTAGCTAATGCTTATTTTGGTTTTAACTTTACATTTAGGAATGACCAACAGACCTGACCTGATTGATGAGGCTCTGCTGAGACCAGGGAGACTGGAGGTGAAGATGGAGATTGGTAAGAAGGCTAGTGTATCTCAGTACATAAGCTCACAGGTACTTAAAACAGTAAAGCAGACATCTGTCCTAGTGTGAACAACTGACCAGAACAGCATAGCTGCTAAACTTTATGCTGCTCCCTCTATAATATTTTATGTAAATTTAATTAGCTGATTAAAATGTCATTTTAGACTCTTGAAGTCACTGAGTGGACATCAGGTTCTGTCAGGTGGTATGGGTTGGTGTAGGCTGGTAGGACCCTTTCATTCTCTGGCATGAATGAAAAAAAACAAATAATGGCATCAGACCACTGTTAGGTGGAAATAGAAGAACTCTTGATCATGCAGAACAGGCATGTGAGCAGTTCTTGACTTTGAGAAAATGCAGATAATTTTATTTGCATAAGGTGATCATGTTGACTTTCACTTCAGTAACTGCAAGCGCTAGCAATATTTAGCATTGGCTGAATATTCTAGACCTTCTGAAATCAGCAGGTCTGGATTATGTGTATCAGTGGTTCAAAAAGCAGTCCAAAGAGCTCTCTTAGCCCGTTATTATAGTGTGCTGGAAAAGATGAATGTTTTCCAGTAGCATTTGAAAAGGATTTTTGTAATTGTACATATCAGCTGGCACCATTCCCAGATCTAATAATAGAATATCTGATAATGTAGGATTTAGTAAGAAATTAGGCCCAGATCAAATTAGATTCATGAAAATAAGTCTCTGACTTGGCTTTTGAGATCAAAAATTTGATCAGTAAAGATCACAGTGTGGTCTTAAGGGCTACTAGACTGTGATGCCCAATTCTAAGATTAAGAAAACCTGGAACTGATTAAAAGTTTAATGATCCTGTCTTGCACGGAGAAACTCAAATCTGATGAGATCCCTGTTTAGTTTAAAGATCGGAAGGGCTACACGCAGGTGCAGATGTTTAGTTCAGAAGAGCCTGTAAAGCATATCCTCTAATTCTCCATGTGCGCGCGTACACACACACAAACACACATACACACGAACGTACGTATGTACGCATGTCACAAAATATTTCCTATTCTCTGAGCTAGGCACGGAGTATTGCAAAAATAAAAAATCTCACACTGTAATGAGCTATATGGAAAAAGCAGGCAAGGCCAAGAGCATCACTAATGTCCTTGTCCTTTCAATTACGGAGAATTAAATGAAAATGTCCAGATAACCCTAAAAATTATATGGCCCTGTACTGCAGAGGAAGGCAAAAGAGATTATAATTGTCTATGCTGGTCTGAACTGTGGGGAAATTCTTGAAATCTGATCTCTCGGTTTAATCCTGAGAGCTCACTGGGGACTTTTTTCCTATCATTAAAGGGTAACTTTACTCTTTCGAAGAGCTGAAAAGAAGAGTTTTTGTGGTAGCTGAAAGTGGAAGATTTTGGGCAAAATAAGGAATGAGGAAGTGAGGCTGATGGCTACTGAGGCAGCCACAGAAATAACCCAGGCAGTGAGAGCTGGTGGTGTTAAGGCCATCCTAGAGTATTATAGGAAGCTGTTTATAACAGGCTGTACTGTACATGTAGCTCATGGAAGATGGGAGGTCAAGAGATGCACCTGAAGGAGCAACTGTGACTTAAAAACATGTAGAGCACAGACAGCATAGATAGTTGCAAATATGCAGGAGATTATGAGACTAAGCTATTAATTCAGCTGAAGGAAGAATATTGGAAGGGACTTGTGCCTCTTCCTGGCATAATACAAAAAAATAAAATCGATTGAATAAGTGTATAGCTGTACATAGAGATTTAAGAGAGGTCAGGCAGGTAGACAGTAATGAGAAAGGATTAGCATTGACAAAGTTAGCCAGACACAGTCTTTCCAAATTAACACATCTTCAATGAGTTGAAGGAAAGACTTGGTAAAGAAAGTGTGTTTTAGGGAGCAGGAAGTGTAGCAACGATGACAGTTGTCCTCTCTGAACAATCTTATACCTGAAAACAAATGCCTGATAGCAAGCATCATTGCTAAACCCAGCTGAGTGTTATACTATCGCAGGTGTAGTACCTGCATCTTTAGCTGAAAAAATTTAATTAAAAACACTATAGGTGAGGCAAGTCTTTTTTAGAACAAATTTATCAGATCCTTATAATAAAGGATGTGAACATAGGTTGGAAAGTGAGATAAAGCACAGCATGGGTTTACCAAAAGGGTGTTGTGCCGGACGGACTTGTTATCCTTTCTTTAAATAGAAGGACTTTCTTTTTCTTCCATTATGAGCATTTCAGAAGGGGCTTGATAAGGTGCAAGCTGAGAAATTATCATCTAAACGTCAGAAAATGAAGATTGTACAAGAATTGTGAGGTGGGAAGGAGCTTGATTAGGGAACTGGGTTTAGGGATGCCAAGGGACTGACTTGCCAGAATGCCCTTGTGTAAGGTGGATCCCTGGTCTGGAAGTTTGAGAACAAGCAGCTGGGAGTGGGAACATTGTGCAGCAACCAAGTCACAGCAACCAGTAACTTGCTTTGGGAACTCTGACGCAGTGAAACTTTACACTGTTTCTTTCTCTAGTTTGAGGGTGATGCTAATTAGTTAACAAGAGCAATTGGTGTAATTTGAGGTTCTCGGACAAAAAGCATTGTCCACTACTGTACTTATAGGAATGAATTACTCACAGTGAGAAACGGCCTTTGGAAGTAAGACCGTTGAGGAGAGGGAAAGGCTGTGCTGCAGTTGCTGTGCTGAGGCACTGGTTGACATGCATTCTGTTTAAAATCTCAGGCTTGCCAGATGAGAAGGGTCGATTTCAGATTCTTCATATCCACACGGTACGGATGCGAGAACATCAGCTGCTGGCTGAAGATGTGGACATTGCGGAGCTGGCAGTTGAGACTAAAAACTTCAGTGGTGCTGAATTAGAAGGTTTAGTTCGAGCTGCACAGTCTACTGCTATGAACAGACACATCAAGGTCAGTTCTGTTGCCTTTCACTGGGGCAAAGAAGAGAAAATAGTTGTTTGTGGAGACTTTTCTTGTATGTTTACATCTCAGCATGCCTTAGGAGATGGTTTTCATGTGGATACCATGTTGTGACTGTGCTTTCACGTGGTTGTGACTTAACCTTTTTCATCTCCTGACCTCCAAGTGGTTCTTAGTACCTCAGTGGGAATGGAAGATAATTTTCTACCAGTGTATTTTTATGAAAACTGAAAAGAAAGTCTTGAGACTTGGTTTAATAGATTAGACCCAGGAAACAAGAGTGGAAAATGAGAATAGCCATTGACGTCAGGGGTATCTCTACTGAAGCCTGTGCAGCTCAGTATATTTGTAAATGATCTGGAAAGAGGGGAGGAATAGCAAGGTTACAAGCTGGCAGCTATTTGTGGTCATAAAGATGAAGGCCATCTGTGAAAACTGCAGAGGGATTATGAAATACTGAGTGAGTGGAAAAGATGCAATCAGTGTGTTTAAGTGTACGGGGAGAAAATTCTAAAATGTGTAGGCAGTGATAGGGACTGAGCTGACCATTGCTCGGGAGCAAGTTCTTCAAATTATGATAATCTTGAAATATCAGCTCAATTCTCATCAGTCAAAAAGCAAATGCAATGTTACTAGAAGAGATATAGAGAGCAAAAATTAGGCCTTGATTATATCATTGATAAATCCCTGATGTGTTTGTATCTTCATTACTCTATGCAATCCTGGAACACCCATCTCAGAAAGGATATAGGAAAGGATATGGTAGAACTAGCATATGGAAAGAAGTAGGATGTGCAAGGGCAACAGAGAAGGTCAAAGGTGTAGGTGGGTTTTCATAGGAGGAAGGGTTAGACTAGGATTTTTCATTGTGAAAAAATATGGCAAAGGGACATGAAAAGTCTGTAACATCATGAGAGGCCTGAAGTTGGTGAATAGAGAATGATTGTTTACTGTTTTCTAATACAAGAGTTTGGAGGACAGCAAATGGTACCAGCTGGGCCAGGGTCAAAGCAAAGAAAAAAAATGCACGTTGTTTGAAGATGTATTTAAGCTGTGGAACTCATTGCTCTGAGATGTCGCTGATGCTAAAAACTTATCTGAGTTCAGAAAGTGCTTGTACAGTGTCTTCATCCCATTTCAAATAAGAGCTCATTTGATGACAGTCTTAGTGTTCATAGAGACCTGTAAGGTTCTCCGTTTCGTCCATTCTAGAAGATTGCCTTGGTTTCCTAATATTTGCTGATTATTGGGGTCAGTGTATCTTTAACTGGAGAGGAGTTATGAAGGGTCGTGAAATGTCAGGTTATATTAATCCAAATGCAAAAAGTGGTATTTGACAGTGTTGAAATATGAGATAATTAGTTCATGAACGGAGAGACTGAAAGATGTAGTCCCTTTGCTCTAGTGGCCAAGATTTGGTGTGAATAACTGCAGAGAAGAGCTTTCAACATCAATACCAACAGCACTCACGTGTTTTTAAGTAAAAAGGCTATTCAGCCTCAGATGTAAATGAAAGCATAGTTTCCTTTCTTCATATTTGGCTGCTTAAACACATCTAGGAGCATTCTACTTAAAGAAAAAATGGCTCCCGCTTCTCTTCCTTGCAGCCATAATATTTGAAAAGCTATTAACTGGTTCTCATAACAACACAGAAGCGTCAATTAGTTTCTCTAATTTCTTGTGTTCTTACTCAAAAAAACTTCACCACCTCAAAATATATTTTCATCCCTTCATAAACAAAGCATTTTTCTTAAATAATTAATTTTGCTTATAGTAGTTGATGCTTTTTCATTGCTTGAATTTTGGGTGAGGCTGGGAGCCGTTAGTGTTTTGATAAGTACCCTGTTGTGCCAAACTGTCGCAGGGGGAGAAGAGAAAATGGCAATGCATAAATATAAAAGCGCAATCTCCTCCTTTAAGTAGGTGATTAACAGCTTAGTAATGTATGCATGTTTATTCCAAATGTCAAGCTAGCACACTTCATTTTTCTTTCCAAAGATTTTGACATAGTATTTTTGGATATTCTTATCATTCATTGTGAAGTTGTTTTCAGCCAAACGATGTACTAAAGTATTTCATTCTCTCCTATGAATACTGCAGAACTTAAAATATACATCATAAGCCTGACCTAGTTTTCAGAAACGCCTATGAGAAGCAAGAACACAAATTGCGTTTGAAAATCAAGTGGAATTTTTCTTCTGAATCATTTAAGCTCTTCTGATAATCTCTCAAAGTGTGTGTTAAAAAATAAAATGTGTAACTTATTAAAGGCTAGGACAGAAAGAAAGGTTCTTGCTTTTAGGCGTATAAACACCTTTAGGAATACATTAACTATGTGTTTCAAGTACCTTCACTTCCCTCTACACAGTAGCAAAGTGATCAACTTGTCCTAAAGATCCACTAGTTTGATGTATTTGGCATCCTCTATTTCTGCTTTGGTGGGTGCTTTTGTGAGAAGGGACACTGTTGTTTCAGCCAACCTCTGGTTATAATAATTGGTTTGGCACAGTATTATTGGCTGATCTTTAATTAAAATGATTGCTGGGTTTTTGAGCTTGCTATTAAGAGACTGCTTCTGCCATTCTACAAGATAGGCAACATAAGAATTCTCCTTCCCATGCCAAAGTGATGTCCTTGTTCTTGTGGATCATCCTAGTCAAAAGAGGATGTATTTGAGACACTTCTTTGAGAGCGATTGTTATTTGACTTGTCCATCCCCTCAGTCTTCAGCAAAGGTTGTAGAGATCAAGCACAACTGTCTGTGCTCTAACATCAGGAGCCAGTCTCCTTCACTTGATCTTTCATGGTAATGCCTCATCACAGGTCATGGCTCCAATATTCTCATTCCCTGATTAGGATTTTTTTCCAAGAAATGCCATGAAATCCCATATTTTTGTCTTTTGAGATCGTGTAGG